TCAAAAACGCCACACACGAAAATCGTCAAATCCCACCATCGGCATTTTCTCTTTTTTAGCATATTTAGAGGCTTAAAACTCAAAACCAAGGCAAATACCTCTAACGGAATGTATTCTGGCTAAAAGAAGGGTGTGAAGAAAACGCGACGCGAAAAAAAAAAAAAAAATGAATTTTTTTTTTTTTTTTACACTGCGTGTTGAAGTTGAACGAAAAGTGAAAACCCTCTCTGTTTCATAATTTATTTGTCAGTACTCGTACATGATAAAAACACAAACTTTGCTTAATTTGGAAGGCAATGAAAGGTTATACAAGCGCTATTATTTTAAGAGCGATACTAAACATAGTCGACTCAAAATAAAATCCGCAATTTAGGTCACAGTTGTTCGCGGAGGCATGTTTGGGGATTTTTACAAAAATTGGAGCGACGAATAATGAATAACATATGTATCACACTAAAAGATATAGACGCTCTGTTTTGAATACTTTGAGATTGAAAGTGATTCAAAAACGCCACACACGACAATCTTCAAAACCTCGTCGTTCTTTGCCGCTTCTTTGAGAATTTTTTTCTCAGGAACTAATCATATCAGGACATTAAAATAAGAAGGATTATTCTTCTTGGAACATGCTCCACAAAATATAAAAATATGAATCAAAATAAAAAATACGACTGCCACTCGGTGCCTGAATCAGAATGAAACCGCCCATATATATATATATATATATATATATATATATATATATATATATATATATAAACGAAGAAACGAGTTATTGATTTTGAGGTCTCGCAAAATATCCTACTTGCGACTTAGAATATGTCTCCCTTTTTATGTCAAAACAGACGGCGACTCCCGTTTGACGATGGTTATTGCATCGGACGACTTTTAGAATCCGGGATACGCTCCTCGAATCAAGAACTTGCAGAACGCACGCCGCTAGTTGACAAGGGAAATAAAAATTGTGACCGCGGGAGCTTTGGCGTATTCCGGTCTTCGCTGCTGCTTGAATGAACGGACTGCGCGCGGTACGTTTCGTCCTTTTTTTATTGTTTTGTTTTCCGTATATTTTTGCTTACTCATTTCGAATACGCGCGCCGTGCAACTATAGAGTTGCCCAATCTAACGCTCAGTGACCGAAAATGAACACGTGACAGAATGGTAATGTTGTGACGTTTTGAGATAAAACGAATGAAACCAATGAAACAATTATTTCACAACGTTGGTTACGTAGTTCTCAATTTAGGTGAGTTGAGGCAATACCACCTAGAATTGGTTGAGGTCGTGTTATGTTCGTCGAACTTGCAACAGCCATTCGAATTCTACTGATCAAGAAAAAAAGAACAAAAAAAAACAACTAAAAACGTGGTTGAAAAATAAATATCACGTTAAAATTTTTAGCGTACTTTTTCTTTGTTATGATGAACGGAAGACAGATGGAAGGTTGAGATTAAGAAAAATAAGCTAAAAGAAAACTGGCGACTATTACCTTTTTTTTTTTTTGGGGGGGGGGGGGGGGGGGGAAACAAGGGGAGGGTTTTTTTTTTTTTCCGACTTTTTTGATCTTCGAAAGCGTACGGGAGTTACTTGGAGTAACTCGCGCAATTACGTCATCGGAAGCGAGCGCCACGTGCGCGTAACAATCCAACGAACCCGAAAAACCGTGTACGAAAATTACGGGGCGGCTCGCTCCACTCGGCCAACTCGTTCCCGGAGTCTAGCAACACTGAGCGGCGTCTTTCATCCGTGTGCGATTCCTTTATTGATGCCCGACCCGTAGTGCACGCTTTTTTTTTTTCTTCGTCCCACGGGAATCGACAATCGAAGCTAGACACCCCCGTTCCGAACCATTTTCCAAAGTCTGTGTCCCAAGCCGCGTCGAGCCGCCGCCTCCGCCCCCCCTTCGTCGAATGGTTCTGGTGACGGCACACGAGTACACCAGCGGCGCATCTCTGCCGAGCATGTCGCCCAGTCTGGACATGTTGACCCAGACCCCCAACAACCACCAGGCGGTCGCCGTGGGCGCTGACCCCCAGTCAACCGTGAGTTTATCGAGCTTAAAAACGAAGCAGTCAAAGAAAACAACACTCGGTGTGTTAATCAGTGTTACCGCTCCCAGGCGACGGGCTTTTGCCCCACGTTGCCACGACCGCCGAGCGCACGACGTAGAAAAAAGAAAAGTAAAAGGCGGCCAGTTGCCGGAGCGGTTGAGTGGTTGAACTTTCGGTTCGGCGTGGTTTGACTCTGTGGGGGTTTGCCTGCGCCTCTTTTAGGCTCCGCGGCTGATGCGTATCGGCCGTCGGAGGGGGGTTTGTGTGCGGGCGATAGAAATAACAAACATGGAGACAACGCTGTTTGGCGGTGTTCACGGAGACGGCCGTTTTGGTCCCCTTTCGTTTCGTTGGGGATTAGTCACCCGTCTTGACATTACGCACTTGAAGATTAAAATGATTAATGATTTATACCATTTTCTTGTGTCGACCATTGTTACTACTTTTAAACCTCTCTTGTACTTGTTATGTTAAGCACACACTCTGACGACTTGGGCTGATTTTATTTCTCAGAGTTGTCGTGGTGACGATCTGTATATTGCAGTAGTAACATCTCTCTGCTTTTGTTAACATCTGAGAGACCTTTTCTGTTTTAATAGCCTTCATTCTCTATCCTAAATAAAAGGATTGTAGAGCTAGATTAGGCGAGGGCATGTGTGTGAACCATGATTGTGTGGGTGGCTGATTGAGCTGAATTGTGATAGTCTTTCTGGGGGGCTATGTTCAACAAATGTTTCGTTTCGCCTAAAAAGAAACAGAAGTGTCGATACTGTGTCTGATTGGTTAGAGGCTCAAATGACATAAGTTCCCTCTTTTTGTCATTTGAGCTTCTAGCCAATCAGACGCGATATCATCACTTCTGTCACTTCAGTTTCTTTTTAGGAGAAACAAAACATTTGTTGAACATAGCCTCCCTGGTTTTTGTTCTTGAAGGACAGTAGTGGATTTCTTTTTTTTTTATTTTCCCCTTTCTTTGTACCATTATTTCATTCCTGGCACTCGGTTTCATGAGAGGCGTACTTCCTTTTCTGCTCTGAGTGAACGATTCTCGCATCTCAGAAAGCCAAAAGCTTTATCTTAGGATTGCACTATTGCTAAAAAAGTAGTGAGGTGGTTATTTGTTTATGGTGCCACAGTGAGTGACTATGGCAAATAGCAGTCTTCGGGTGTTTCCGTGCCAGGGGCTGTTGCAAACTTTTTGCGTCTGCAGGGTGGGTCGCGATCAACTTTGCAAGTTGACGGTACATGGGAATCTTTTCTTTTGTTGGCCACCGCTTGCTGTCATACAATTTCGGAGAACACGCCATGGCATGGAAACAGTCGATCTGTACAAGATGTCGCTACGGGTTGATTGAACCTGCGTTCAAAGTGATCGGTGACACGGGGCTTGCATCTAGTCCGTGTGCTTTAGCGTGATAACCCAAAGTTGTCTTGGTGTCTCGACTCAAAGTGAGAGCCCGCAGAACTTTGTTGGCGGGTTCGAGTTGGGAACAAGATGTGCACAGTCGGATGAAAGTTTAGTGCTGCCTAGGTGCTGTGCGACTGATTGCGGTTGCTTTTTAAAGATTCAATAACAATCTAAAGCAACCTCCCGAGGTTTAATACTTTTTGGTATCTCCTGTTGACTGAAATCCTTGGCCCTTCGCTGGGACGTGCCAGGCATCCTTAACTAGTTGGGCCCACAAACCTCTAAAATATTTATTCTTACTGCACTGAGATTGCTCGTTCACCAAAGGATTGCGCCCTGTGCTACCCGCTCGTGGCACACATCTGAACTTTCCTCCGTCGCCGGTTACCACTGGTGGTCAACAACGGGGCCTGGGTTGCATACAGCCAGTTGGCTGATTTCCATAGATGCTTTCTTGCAGAGTGTTACCTCCCTCTTCAAACGGTGTAGTTGACAGACGCGCCACCCTTTTTGCATATTGTGGTTGCTGTCTGCGCCATTGCCGCAGAGATCTGCCGCATGGTGCGACAAGGGTGGCGCTTTAACCGACCGGTGGGGAATATTGGGGGAGAGTGGGTGCTCGTGCCTCATTTAAAGGGCTGCTGAACCGAAATCTGGATTCCACAAAGCATGGCAGCAAAAGCGTGCAATGGGATGCTGCAAACATTAAAAAAAAACACTCTTACAACAATATATCGAACGGATGACCATATTTAAAAAAAAAAAAAGTAGGCGCTTTTGACACATTTGTTTACGTCTTGTTTTTTTCCGAGAAGGAGAGGGAACGGCCTCGTGTGTTCTCCGCCTCGCCGCCTTGCGGGGGCGAAGAGGAGAAAGCAAGATATCTTGACGTCATGCGCCTCGTCGGCCTCATTTAATCTCAACCTTTTTTTTTTTTTTCAGAAATATGGCTGTCGATTCGAGATATCGCCTTACGAGTAGTGTTGTAGCGATTGTAGCGTCCAGTCTACAGCTCATGCATTGTTTTCTGAAATCCAAAGTTTGGTTTACCATTTTTTTGAAGGGTGCAAGCCATGTTCACCTATACTTGGTTTAGGCGTAACATTGCAAAAATGCAAGTGTGGCATACCACTTTCGAGGCATTCGGAGTGTAACGTGAGAGAGCGTTTTACAGGACGAGAGCTGTGTTGTCACATGCCTTGCCCCGACACCGATTGGCTCGCCGAGGCCGCAACTTTCCTCGTTCGCCGAGTTGTGCCGATACGAGCATATTAATGTTGGGCACGGATCACCGTGCCCAATGTTGAGAGCATCGTTCTCGCCGAGAACAGCTTTCTCGGGAGTGAGCTAAAACGATGACCCTGCAACTCTAACTTTCCTCAGATATTGAGTCATTTAGGGCTGATAAGCATAAACTGGAGAACATTTTAGACGCCGGAAAACACGCCAACACGACACAAAAACCGCCAAACTGTCAAATTTTTCCCCCGGCGTCTGGAGGAGGGAGTACGTTGGCTGAACGGTTTCCTCCACCCGCGCAGCAAACGGACCTGGAGCCCGACGGCGCCGGCGGAGCAGCGGGCGTCGTCCTGACGGGAGCCCAGGTGGCCAATGCCGCCAACGCCGTGGCGGTGGCGGCGGCGGCCGGAGCTGCCGAAGCGGCCAAGAACGGCCAGCCCAAGCGGCTGCACGTGTCCAACATCCCCTTCCGCTTCAGGGACCCCGACCTGCGGCAGCTCTTCGGGGTAAGCTACCACGCTCGGACGCCGAAGTGAAATCGGAGTCTCTTGCAATTGGTCGCTGACAGGACGAGAGGTGGGGTGTCGCTCTCGGACGACCTGCCTACGGTGCGAGCCTCGTGGCCGCACGTGCACGCTGGTTGCACGTGCACGCTCGAGAGACACCGAAGCATGGTCGAAGGTTGGAAGCTCGCTCTGGAGGCCGGTCGGCGGAGAGACCTCCCCGCCGTTCTCATGTTTTTAATGGCTGGCGTTGCAAGCGTCGTTCTCGTTGACAACAGCTTTCTTGAGAGTGGGCGAAAACGACGACCTTGGGACTCCTTTCCTCAGATATTGGGCCATACACGTCTGATAAGCATAAACTGGAGAACGTTTTAAACGTCGGAAAACACGCCAACTTGACTCGAAAATTGTCAAAATGTCAACGCCGCTACAGTTGGCGACACCTCCTGACATCGAAATGCAGACGCTACGGTGGCAACGCGTTCAAAACATGCGGCGGAAGAAACGAATTGCACACGTGCAATTCCATCTAAAGACCAACCTGCAAAATATTTTTCAACGAGGGTGAAACTCTTTGTCACCCTCCCCACTTCACTATCTCCCACTGCTATCTTGACTGCATGGGGGAGGGGAGTGGGGGGCACCTTTTGTTGCTGCATCTTGGGGCTGGATAAGCCCGGAGCTTCTCCCAACTCCTCCAGCCCCAAAATGCAGCAGCAAAAGGATCCCCCCCCCCCCCCCCCCCCCCCCGTAGAGTGGGAGAAGAAGAAAATCGAAGGGTGGCGAGGAAAACTTTCACCTTGGTAGACAGTATTTTGCACGTTGGTTTTTCATGCAGGGCTATCCTCTCGCGGCGTTATGCACGGGTGCAACCGCACTGGCGCGTGGTCTGTGCTTCTGGAGAAGGTTCTGTAGCAATCGCCTTACAGTACCGTCGCATGATAAGCTCTCCGATGTTCACATGAAAGAAATTGACGACGACAGTACTAGAAATTTCTGAAAGATGCCTCAGTTTCCTAAATTTTCTAGTGATCATAAAATGCATAAATTCCAAACAGGTTGAAATTGCTCTTGCTCTGACTTTAATGCTTTATGACAATTGTGCAACACTTTGATACTGCTCCGACAAATCCACTGCTGGGGTGGTAAATATTGCCCATTCATTTATTATTTGATCTGAGTACTGTTTGTTGGTGCCTCTTTTAACGCTTTCTTTTGATTTCCCGTTCACATGGTATTAATATCTCCTTTCCGTTCCAGCAATACGGGGCTATTCTCGACGTGGAAATCATCTTCAACGAGCGAGGTTCCAAGGTGAGCTCTCGGCATTTCCTGGGTCCTGTAGCTCCCACCAGAAACACTGAGTCTTCTTGTCGTTTAGTTGTTTGCTGCGGCTTGCCACTTTGTTTTTGGACCCGTTCATTACATTTTTTACATGACTTTAACGGGAGTCATCAAGATTAGACGCCTTGCGGTGCAAATGCCGAGTGGGATCAGGTAGCAAAAATTGGACTTGCAAAAACCCGTCGTTGATATCAGGTTTTGCGAACCCGTCGTTGATTGCCGGGTTCTCCCGTCTGTGGTTGACGGGTTCTGCAAGCCTGTCTGCTGACGAGTTCTGGAGACCCATCATTAGGTTGACAGGTTCAGCATTAAATTGGCAGTGCATACTTGAACTTTGGTTAGTAAACTGGTTTTTAAGCGGCAGCTGGGGGTTTGCAAAACCTGCTTCCTTCATTCGATTCCGGAGAGGTCTGGTCAGAAGGGGTGTCCGAGAAAACAAAGTGGCAACGCCAATCTCTCCTCGGAAAGTCTGTTTCTCGCAACCCTGTTAAAACGATAAAAAAAAAAAAAAAATCCTAATCTCGTGGAGTTGTGGAAGGTACTATTGAGTTTGCTTGGCCAACAGCCTAGCTATCAATCAAGCTTTCATAACTGGAAAACATGTGCTCTGTTTGATGCGAGGCCGTGGTTGAGGCCTCGCAGGATGGGCGCGGAGAAAAGGCTTTCCCGGGAGCGTAGGTCGTGTGTGTGCTCATGGTTCAGTGGGGCACCAAGTCAGCAGTGACAGAAGCTCAGATAAGCTGTAGTGTTGCTGCTCTATCTTTGCGTGATGCACAATTTTTTTTTTTCTCGCCTAAATTGAAGAGTGATGTAAATGATCAACTTTTTAGCATGCTTAGAGCACTGCCACATGAAGACTCGGTGGCCTTTCGTTGGGAATGGCACCACGTTCCGAAACTCCAACAATTCTCAATTGGAAACTTCATTATCACTTTTGTTTGTCATTATCATTCAATCTATGCCAGGTTAGCTCGATAGCAGAGGCCGACGTTTGCTATGGCATGAGATGCTAATCTTTTTTGCCTCTTTAAGCTGCCATTCCTGAAAGATTGGTGTTTACTCTGTGGTAGTTCCTCTGTGATGTAAAGATCTCTGTCGAGGCGTGCCACGGTCACCAGATAAATCTCGAGCAGCGTTTTATGTTTCCACGAAAGTCTTTGCAGGAACTTTGTCTCTGCCTCAGTTGGCTCATAAATACCGACTCAAGGATTCAGTGGTTACTTTTTCTGAGCCTGCTGAGGCACTATCTATTATGTCGTGAATTGTGGCGACCTGTCGACAGTTTCCTAGATTGTGTTTGAGGAGTCCGGACAGCTATTTTTGGAGCGGTTCTAATTTAGAGTTGGTAGGATTTCGGAGCGTGGTCGTTCCAGTCATCACCTTGTTGTGTCTCCCTTCTTTGTTTAAAGTGTATGATTGTAGGAAAAGCTCATGCAATATCATCACGTGTTTAGAGAGTTCACTTGCAGCGTATTCCTAATGAGCTGATGAAGGAGAGCCATAATCTAGGTCACGGCAGTTTGAGCTGGTAAAGGTTTGGCAATGGACTCATGGGGTCTGTTTGATTTCGAAGTGGAGTTCTCATTTACCACTTTGATGTACTTGCACGGGTTTCTCCTTTCCCACCTCCTCAATCTCTGAAATTGCCTTCCCTCAACTAAATGTTTGTCGTGTGGAAATCCAAAATTCCTCATCTGGGCCACTGAAAGCTGTTGTCTGCACGAGTTTGGCTGCAAGTTTTAGAATGGAGGTGTAAGAACAGGCGGATGCTGGCGCGTCGAAAATGTTACGACGTTTTCAGCGTCACTGCATTCTCGAGGTTTTAGTTTGGTGGTGCTTCCGCCTGCCAAGGCATTCAATTGCAGACCACATCAAAGTGTCATTGAGGTTCGATCTGGATGAGCGTCGTACTGGCATGCAGTCATGTAATCACTACCAAGTGGTGCGCTAGCTAAATTGCCCACCTTTGGTGTTGCCAGTTAGACCAAGCTCTTGCTGAATTTACAACATCTAAATTGCTTTTCTGTAATCGGACTGCATAGACATGTCTGGTCTATGTTACTCCATTCTCAGTGGATCTGCTTTCGACATCTTGCTATTGGCATGAAACATTCAGGTCCGGTCTTAGACATTTTTGTGAGGTGGTCCAGGTTCTACGGAATTTTGGGTTTCCAAACACTTGAGGCTGGAGCGGCCCTCAAGAGCTGCCATATTTGCCATGTTAGTAGTGTTTGGTAGTCTTCCCCTCACATGTATTTTTTTTTTAGGTTTATTTTTATTGTAGTGTTTTTGTTTCACTTTGTTTCTTTTACAAGCTAATTTTCGGTGTGTCCTTCCCCCCTTTTCCAACCTATTTCCTCTGCTTGAGTTGATTCCTTCTCCTTTCCTCCCTCAAGGTAGTCTTGTTCTTACGAGCCCACCCCAAACCGAAGGTATGCGGGTTCGGTAGTAGATCTGACAAATGGTAACAACGGGAAACATTCTGCATCCTAATTACGGGGGGAATCCCGTAAAGTTACGGAACTGTCCTTCGTCGGATCGAAGAACAGATCTGCATGACTCGGGCTTGTGGTGGGTTCTTAGTTTCTACGCTACGCGACCATTCTCAACTTGCCCAAAATTTACCTCCGTTTTCGCACCGATTCATTAATGTGGGGGTCACGTCTTTGGCGCTCGATGATCGCATCGTGTCTTAGCACCAACTTGCGGCACTGTCTTCTTAGACGCTCGCCGACCGGACCTCATTCGTTTTAATTGAAGCCGAGACTGGTCGTGTAGCGCGAGCGTCGGCCACTGTTGTCCTTAGATGCCGGCCGGAACTGCTTGCCGGTGTTTTTCTCTTTCCCACCCTTCCTTTCCCCTTCCCTCCCTTACACTCGCTTCTGTTTCGACTCACGCCTTATTGTTGTCGCCCGCGAGACCGTGTTCGGGGGACTTGAAGCTGAAGCTTGAGATAATGTCTGGAACTGGCAAGCAAGGCTTTGTCTGTGGATTGCACCTTTTACTTTTTTCTTCTTCACTTGCTCTCCTTTCCCAATTACCTCCCAACTTTTTTTTTTTTTTAGATGGATCGTGTAAACCCTTTGACGCCGTCTCTCATTTTGCGTGGCAGGGAACTTTTAGGGCACAGTGTCGACCGAACTGACGTGCGCCATCGATCGACGCGTCCGGGGCGGTGCCGCTTGTTCCCGGTTTAGCCGTCTGCCAGCTTGGTTTACGGTTTGCTTGACTCGCTGTCGGCTTCACAAATTCGAGTCACTTATCGAGAAGCTTGGCTAAAGAAGTACCACGAGCACTGTTGCAGAGAGATAATGCTAGGAGTTATGGAAAATTGGCTGCAAGTCGCATAAACTTATTGCTCAAAATGTAGAATTCTACGCTACTGTTTGCGTCATGGAATATGAATCTGGACGGTTTACATTCAGTTGCGGGAAAAGTGACTGGCCTTCTGCTCACTTTGTGTCCCGGACAGTCTTGAAGTTTAAATGTAACCAGGGGGACGTCGTCCGTTGCGTGTGTGGAGAGGTCAATATTCTGTTTTAGTTGCAAGAAAGGGCAATTGAAAAGACGAAGCGAAAGCTAGTTGGCCGACGTCGTTGAGCCCCAGGACATTTATATCAGTAGCTCGCGCACCGCCGTAACTTTTCGCATTTTTTTCACACCTTTCCTCGCGGTTCCTGTCCCTTTTCCCCTCCCCCGAGAGTGTTTGTCTTTCGTTTTTGTCCCTGCTGACGGAGTGCTCTTTCTCCCCCTTTTACGCTTCTGTCATGGCAATGGTGGCGGTTGGCATTTTTTGTCTAGCGGAGCGTATGTGTGCAACGTTAGAGACTGGTTATGGACTGTACTCGGATCGGTGCTCTTGCAAGCGGCTGACGCACTGTTGGCCATGACATTGACACCTTCTTTGCATTGTTGACAGTGGGTTTGAACATGCTCACAGTAATCCCAGTTTTTTGGACCCCCATTTATTTATTTTCTTAGCGTTTTCAGCACTACCTTTCTCGTTTTTTTTTTCTTCTCTCAGTCTCTTGTTTTTAATTTCTCAGTTGTTTTCTGACGGAGAACTTTTTTTTTTTTTTGTACTGGTTCTGAGAAGGTGCCTCTCTTAAAAAATGATCTCTTGGCTCTCTCTCTCTCTTTGCTCTCTGGCATTCTACCTTTTCTCTCAAATGCATTGAGTTTGCGTGCCTTGTCTGCGTATGCCAGTTGGAACTTTCTAAAACGAAATGCAAATGTAACAGTGACGATGAAAGGAAAAAAAAGCACTTCCTCAGGAGAGGTGTCTTCTCTCCCTCCTGCGCTCGAAATCCAAGAGAAAGGGTCTGTTGCATATATCCCCATAACGAATCGGCAGAGCGTCGGGTGTGCGCCGGCGTTACGCTGGCACCGCATTAATTTAATTAACCGAGGTTTTGCAGACGCGTGACTTGGGCACAACATTGGCATGACCCGCATGCAACATTGTCGTTTCATCGGTACGACACTGGTCTTAACCTCCATTTTTGCCCCGATCGAGTGACCGTGTGAATGATCGCAGGCGAAACAAACCCGTGGAGACAACATTTGAAAGTCGTTTGCGAAGCCGCCCCCCCTTTCTCTTGGAACCGAGCGTGTCGTTTGTTCTTTTCCCTGTTTTCTTTCTTACGGTGCACGGAACGCAACCAAAATATGAAACGCCTAAAAACGAGTCACTGCAAGACGTAAAGGCGAACCGCCGCTTCTCCCGGGCCGGGCCTTTGTGGCGGACACGGGCATGCTGCGTTGGGGTTGAGAGGTGGTGACTGTTGGCCGCTCTTCTGCACCTTGCACCGCTTCCTAGTTGCCCCGAGGTGCCTTTTCTCCTTCCCTCCCTTCCTGCCCAAGTGGTAGTGAAGGGACCACTGGATCCTCTCGAAGCTGTGTCCAATGGGGTTGAGGGCACCAATAATTGATTGGCGCCACACCGGCAAAGCCGGTGGCAACAGGCCGCATTGAATGGGCTAGTGTCGTTAGTCGGCTGTGGCTCGGATGGTTTCAAAATTGCTAGTCATTTCTTGGCGTTAGCCGGGCTGGTTAACGAGGTGATCAGAGATAATTTCTTCCTCGCATCCAGTGTCCGTAGGTTAGCTGCGCCTGGCTGGTTTTAAAATGGCCGACATGCTGGCCATTTGTTGGGCCACTGAATAAGGCTACCCGGTTAACTGGGGGTCGAACGCTGACATTGCAGCGGAGTTAGCTGAGCCGGCGAAAGAGATTGATGGCATCAGCCAGGGATCACATATGAGTCATTTTGTTGCACTAGCTGGACCGACGGACAAGATTTCCCGCATCAGCCTGGGCCCAGATAATGGCCACTTTTGGCACTAACCGGGCCGGTGAATGGGATTGATCCAGTGGCCCATATGGACGGTGGGAGGGGGAGAGAGGCCCGGCGTGGGGGAAGAGAAAGCGGAACGCCGATGCGTTGGTGTGCATGGTGCATACCTCTTGACCTGTGGAAACCTCTGCTGTCTGGAGCGCTGCCCCCTCTTTGCCTTTTTGTTCTTTCTTGCATGCAGGGCTTCGGTTTTGTCACGTTCGCAACTAGTGCGGATGCGGACCGAGCACGAGAGCAATTGAACGGCACAGTTGTCGAAGGCAGAAAGATCGAGGTGTGCATGGACGTCTTTTTTTACCATCTTTTGCCAGTTGACCCCTCCCCGAATTTTTCCTTCTCCCGACCGTCCCCCGTTCCCCCATGGTGTCTGTTTGTCTGTGTGCGTCCCCCCTTTCTCTCCCCCTTTTCGTCTTCGTAATCTTTGTCGTCGTCCCCTCCCAATCCGCCCTTTCCCCTACCGTTCCCTACCATGCTGATCACCCTCCGTTCTTTTGGAATGCTGCTCTTGCATCTCTTTTGGAAGGGCAGGGGAAATTGATTGTGTGTGCTCTCTTGTGCCCAGCGTTGCCCACTCCGGAATGCGTCTGTGGTGAACACCATACCACCCCTAAAGTGCAGGCGCTAAACACTGTTGCCAGATCTGCAGATCGCAATCCCTCGCAGTTACCTCCTCGAAAGTTTCTTGACTCTAAAAGGCTGGGTGGCTTGTCAGCTGTACCAGTCAAACGAGGTGTAGCAGGGGCCACATTTGTGGAATTTGTTCCAACTTGAACCTTTAAAAGGTCATCCTCATTATATGGCTAAATCTCTCGGGCAGATATCATGCCCCTAAAACTTTCTCAGTTCATTGCCATTTTTTTTTTCTCAACTTCTGCGTGTCTTGAATCCAAACCTAAAAGTAGCGCAGGTCAAGGCTGCTCAGCAGGCCAGAAAACTGATCGGACGCCATCTTTATTACATCAATCGGTATCGAACATACCTAGCGTCTGACTCCTTTTTTTTATTTTTTGCCTTAAAAGCACCACTAGCTGTGTTTTGGGGCGATGTCTGCATTGCGCCGCTCAATCAACACGCATTGCCATGCATCATCTCCCGGAGTTGGCAACGCTGAGGCGTCGTCGCCACGTGCCGGCTGTTGGGCGTGTGGCCTTTGCGTATGGCCTTGCGTGCAGTGACCCGTGCCTTTGGTCTCTTCAGAGTAAGCCGCCGAGCTCCAGTGCTTTAAAGGCCGGCGTTAGCTAGCGCTGGGGCAGTGTGGTTAAGTGGGGTCACAGGTAAGACGGCTGCCACCGCACACCCCCATGGTTGCTCGCTCGATAGGCCTGTCGGTGGGGTCTGCTCGGTGGAAAAACGACGCACGTGGGAGACTGTGTGACCCGTCGCTTGCCCGTGCTGCCTCTGTTCCATGGCAAACTTTTTTAAGAGCTACTTGGATGCCGCAGTACCAAAATGTGCATAGTCATTTACTCTGTCATTGGTTCCTCCTGCTGTAAAGTCCAAAGGCGGTTGATTTGGAGAGATATTTGCGGAGGGTTGACAATGAAATGCAGAGAGCGAGTCATTTGCTTCTTGCACAGGAGTGGCGGTGACGTCTGAATGATGCCAAGCCCTGATTGGCTTTGATTGAAAGGATAGTAGGTAGACCTCAATGCTAGACGCCCTGAGGTTTGCCCACTATTTTTCTTCTATCAGCCAATAAGAGCTCAGTATTCTGACATCATTGCAACCCCTGTGCTAGAAGCAGACAAACTTGCACTCTGAATAGGCCTAACATCCTCTTTTTACACCCATCCTGCCAAAGAGGTAAAGGGGCTTAGAGCAATAGACTAGTATCCCATCACCAGGCAAAAGTGACCCCCACTTGGATGCTGCCATGTTGTACAATTTTGACCACTAGACATGGGACTATACCAAATCCTGAGGCTTTTATGCAAAACTTGAGTTGAGATTTGTATTGCGATCGTTGTAGAAAAACATGAGAAATTATTTTTTCAATACTGTTAGCCCCAAAGATCAGTGTCTAGCTTTGATAAAAACCCAAAATACAGCTCTGTGGCTGACGGCATCTAGCGGAGCCATTGCGAAGCTGCCCGAGTTTTTGTCGTATCAATAAGCGATTATTTGTGTGCGGTACCTCGTTAAAATCGAGACGTAAAACTCTAAGGTCACATGTCTAGTGGTCAAAAATGGGCAACATGGCAGCAACCAATTGTGGGTCACTTTCAGTTGCCAGTTAATTGCTCTAAGGTCCTCTACCTCGTTGCATCCTGCCTTCATTCCCTAAAGGTATTTTTAATATCCGATTGGACGCCGGGGTACCGCAAGGTTCATTGTCGGTTACTATGCCATTGGTTCGTACTGTTGTACAGCCAAAAGGTTGTAGAATTTAAGCGTCGTTTGCTGAGGGTTGCATAAATTTGAGTTAGGGCAAGTTAACATAGTCTTTTCATGGCCTCTTGTGAAGCCCATACGTCTCCTATTGTAATGACTGCTAACTGCTTTAGAGCCTTCTGCCAAAACCAGGCATTAAGAAATGTGCAGTTGACTGACCATAACTGCATCTTAGTCTAAGGGAAGATATTTTTTCCTCAGGGGGTGTGAACATGTCGTACAGGTGCTCAGTCAGACATAGGATCTTGCTTTACATCCTTATCCAGTCATTTTGGGCTAGGGTTGTTCACACTACACTAAAATATTTTAGTGTATTAAAATTATGTGCATGTCACGCTAACCAGCAGCCAGCAGTGGGCCATTCCACGATCCACGGTTGAGTTCATTTTGACGACTTGGCAACCTTTGTGGCGAGTTTGCCAGCGATGCTCTTAGGGAGTGGCATCACTGCTTTTGAAGAAGACGCGGTAATTTGAGAACAGAGGCAGCACGGTCGTGGCATTCGGAGCTTTCGCAGAACTGCGTAGTACAGCCTGCTAACAGTCTAAAGAATAACTGTCGCGGAGCAACACGCCGCATGCGCTGGGAAAGGAAAGAACTCTGCATGTTGGTGTCAGTTATGGACCCGCACGGGCGACGCAGAGGCAAGCGTTCTGTTAGTCTCCTGTCCGGTGGTGGCAGTGCTCCGGAGCCGAGCAACATCGCACTTGAAAAGGGTGCCCCCAGTACGCACTCATTGCACGGTGCCGCTTGTTGTCGGTTTCCATTCTTGGTCACTGACGGTACGACTCGGGGACCGATTGTTCGTTTGCCTCGGCGTCGTTCTTGACCATACTGCGCTGCAAGTGTCGGCCATCTGCACTAGTGGGAGCACTTAGTCGTCGTCCTCAGTTTGGTGAGGATATGCATTTTTAAGGAGCAGAGCATCACAAGGAATATTGAGCTCTCCTCAAGGACGGTGAAGGTGCTGTCCTTCTAGTGCAACTGCCGACGCTTGCTCATTACCGAGGTTTTGCTACTGACCGATTTCACCGGACTGTGAGAGTTGTCGTCGTCGATTTAATCTCCCAACCTGGTGTACTGCCATTGTCGTAATCACGATTATACAGTTCAGTGCTCGTTACTTTAATGTGTGCTCCGACCTTTTCAACGCCAAAAGTCAACCCTCTTTTTTTTTATAGCTATAAATAAAATAATTGAAGGCCTTCGCTGGTGGCATGTCATTGGAAGATCCGGTGAAATTGGTCCGTGGTTATTTTTATTTGGGCTTACGATACAAGAGCCACAGCCTTTTTTTTCCCCCAACAGTAGGTCTTTGGAAGGCTAGAACCGGGCTTCGTCGGTGTTTTGAACCCACGTGGTGGACATCAGTTCTGTGCAACGCAAGAGAGTCAGTGCACCAGTGATGTGCAGCTATTTTAACGCCCGAAGTTTGGTTATTATCCCCTGATTCAGGCCTCTCGAACAAGGGAAGCGGTGCATTTGCACTGGTACATTTGCGTCGCACTGACTGCCGTGATATAATTAAGCTGTGATCGTGTAAGATGGCTGAATTGGACCAGAACAGAGTGAAGAATATTTGGGAGCCGTTGATAAATAACAGCGATGGAGATGCTTCACCGATTGCATCATTGCTCTCGAAGTAATCTCTTAAAAGTAGGAAAAGTAATGATGCAGATGAGCTGGTTATAGGTTCACTGTGTAGACTTGAGGGAACTATCTATAAAGACAAGCAAACGGCAACCTCGGTGGTGGAAGATAATGGCAAAATGGTTTCCAAATGTGTTCGAATGTGAGCACATTTGCCTTACAAGTCCCTTACATAAGTCTATGTAAGGGACTTGAACCATCCCTTTTTGTTGACAAAATTGCTGCTTTTTCCTTTTGCAAGCTTGAATCGGCCTAATGGGTGCAACTAAGCAGATGATAACTCTGATCACTGTTGGCACTTTTGTAGGTTCTCAAACTGCACTGTCTCGCTGGGCGTGCGTCTTAACATCTTCCTAAGCGAGCGAGCTTTAGTGTCCGTTTGAACTGTTTCCACCCTGTTCTAAACTCGTCTTTATGGATTTTCTGCACTCAGCAGCTAGTTTGATAATACTAGATGGAGTTTTTGAGGTCTGGCAACATGCCCGGACAGCTTGCAGTAGACTCTGTCTGTATCTTAATTTTTTAGTGGAGACAAATTTCATGCTTGTTCGGAAAGATGGACAAGTCTGGTGGCCTTGAGTTGGCTTTGTAGATTAGTTGCATGATTCGCCATTCTCCCACGGTTACTTCCTCAGACCTGCTGTTGTGCTCGCAATTATTAAAAAAAAGAGGAATTATATTGCTAACACGTGGAGTGCATACTCTAAAGGACAAGCATACTGTAGATTATTTTGGTTAAGCAACATCTGTTTTTAGTGCTGAATGCAGCATCTACCACTTTCAAACTGTAACATTATGCATGCTGTAGACAATTTGAAGGGGAAATCCAATGGAATCTTCTTTTTCTCACTCTAAATTATTTATGCATAATTTTGAGAGCTCCACTGTCCCGATGACATTTTTGTCGAGAGTGCACGAGACCTTGGATTTAAGCGAGACTTTTATTCGCACATCTAGCTTTTTGCTTAGCATAATACTCCGTTGGATTTTGTCTTTATTCCATTGGATTTTATCCTTATTCCAACCTGAATGTCTTGTTCGCATCATTCCCGTGTCCTAACTCTGGAACCTTTTCCACCACGCTTAGGTAAACAATGCGACAGCGCGGGTACAGACCAAAAAGACACCGACGATACCCAACGGTAAGTTTTGTTGAGAGAATGCATTGCGACATGACTGTCTTTTTTCCGCATTTGGTTTCTGTTAGAGAAAGAAAAGTTCGGGTCTGCATTGGCTCGGTGAAGTCAGTGCTAATAAACACACTTGTGTCACAGTTTGGTAAACATCATTTGTTCACCAGCGATGAATGTCATATCTGGTGAACTCTATTAGTTTTGCTTCGGAGGAAAACTACAAGAAACCTTCATTATCGCACTTTTTTAAATGAATTGGCAAAGCGTGATGCCGCCGTGTGTTGCTAGTGTGTTTTGTAGCACTCGAGTCACCTTTGGACTGCATGCAAACGATGCCTACCCAGTCCGCTTCGTGGACTGTTCGCACCGCTAACAGGATTGCGTCACCTTTGGTTCTTCCTACCACGTTTTTGTATGGACCAGTTCTTGTTACTAGTGAAGCCTTGAATTTGTTGCCTCGCTCTGCGGTGGATGACTGGACATTGAAACTTGTCGTTGCTGATAACTTGTTGTTCTCTCACCGTGTGCGCCTGCTCTTGTTTCTGCCCGAGGCTCTCGTGGGTACAAGGTGGACCATTTCACTGGCTGTTGTGCTCATTGGAAGTCGTTGTCTAATGTTGTATTCAGAGATCGGTTGTTGTAGGCGACTTGTCTGCTCCTTTTGGATGTTTGCGTCGGGGCTATGGTTTTTGCGAGGGGGGCAAAGGTGGTGCGCTACCATTCCCCTTGTCTCCTTTCACTTTTCTCGTCTCCTCTCCCTTCACGTGCCTGTCCTTCTGCTGCATCCCTGTGATGTCCCGCCATGACGCCTCCTAACCTCAACTCTGTGCTCTTGTGCCGCAGACGGAGCTTGTCGGAGTCTTTCTGCTATGCGGCATGTTGGTAGTCGAAGTGAACTTGTGCAGTAGACTCAGCTTTGAGGCTTGGCTGAGGCTTGGCTCATCTTTAGCCATCTGTATATAACTGCGACTGCTTCAAATATAACTTCTCCTGTACCTCTGAGCTGTGGTTTTCCTCTCATAATTTTTTTTCTCCTACGAGTACTGTTCTGTTTCGTAAAGTGGTAGTGAGGATATAGGTACTGCACCGATGCTAGTTAACAATCTTATAGCTTATGCCTCAAGCAAAATATGTGATGTCATGGTGGCTGTGTCAAATGTCTGACAAAAGTTGCGCATACATCTCTTCGGCAATTTGGGATATCTGTTGCAGCGGTGCCAAAAAATGCAATTAAAAAGTATTTCTTCTTTTTTCTCACTTTTTATTGGTAAAGAAATTTACAATATTCAACTCCGCATAGAGAGTATTGCAAGAACCAAAAGTACTTAGTAATGGCTAATAGTTGAGTGGTCACTTTATAAATAAGACACAATTTCCCAAGGAATCCTGAAGTATGTCTGGTCACTACGGTATTCAGTCTGCTTTGTGTCGGGCACGTTTTTCGCAACGTCATGCGTGTTTGGCTGGGTCTCGCCAGGTCCAGCTTGCACCAAGGGACAGCCCCTACGTCTCTTTTCTTTGTGCTTCCTTCCTATCCCTTGCCCTCATTCTCTGCAAGAAAAACTGTGTTGCAATGTTCTTGTCAGACTGCTGCTGCCACTGCACTACCTTAGTTTCTTCGGCCTCTTGCAATGCCATGGTTTTCGGGTAGTTGCTAGTGTGCACCCGACTACTTCTTTGGACACTGAATTAGGTGTGTTTTGTCTGCCTGCTGCTGGCTGACAACGATGTTACCCCTTGCAAAGAGCTGCGGAAAATCGGACTGCAGTCTCGAGCACAATTCAGCTTGAGCGTGACTGCTCGAGGTTGTACTTTCAGGCTTTTTTTTTTTGTGTGTGTTTTAGTGGTTACACATTTTGGGGTTCTGGCGTCTTGCACGTGGTGTAGGACCGCTCAACTTTCTCATTTAAAATTCACCGATGTTAATGATGCCCGAGCATGAGACTAGCGCTACTTTGCTTAGAGACTTGGCTTCCTCAGAGCCAGGCTCGTGTTTTGGCCCATTTTGAAAGTCTGGCTTTAGGGCCCCTCTTTAGCGCTTGCCCAGGGGTGGAACGGCTGCGCCATTTTGCATCAGACGCATTTGTCTGCGCCATCCTGCGCCATGTTGCGGAAACTATGCCACGGCCAATACCTTGCGCCATTATGCACCAAGTCGCAAAACGTGCGCCAAAAATTTGTATTTTCTCTTGGTTTCGGTTTTTATTGACTTGATTGGCAACAATGAGCGCATTTAGCTTGGTCGGCCTTGCAATCCTTTATTCTGTTTATTCTCCCTGTGTATCCCTAGTCGGAAACGCGTGAAAAAACCCTGGGGTCGGATTCCAAGCGCTACACCACCTGCGACTGGATTGCTCTTCAACCATAAGTGGTTAAGCAAGTCGGCCGACGTGAGGTCGAGTCGTTAAGCGTCAGATTCCCTGAGGATCTGCGGCCCGGGATCTGGACGTCAGCCAGTTGAAAACAAATAAGCAAAAGATTCCTTCTAGTACTTAATCAATAGAAGTTGGAACCGCATTCCCGCAAGATAGATTGTGATTTGATAGAACTGAAATGCGGTCCGATCCAAAACCGTGCCGGCCAGCAGCTCTCACGCGAGCGGTAGATCTGCTCAGCATACTTTAAAGGGGCACTGACACCCCGAAGGTCATGTTTTTTTTGTCTAAAACAATGCAAATTGTAGTCATAGACAAAAAAAAAAAAAAAAAAATCCACGCGCGCGTTTTTTTTATTTTTGCTTTTTTCCTCTCCCGCTTTTCATCTCCTCGATTCTTTTGATTGGTGACGTCAAAAATCAGGAAATTTAGAAGCTTTGTAGGCGACATTTCTATAACATTTAATAACGGCAATTGTAAAACATGTTTTTTAACGCAATTGCGATATACTTGAAATATTTGAAATACCAAAAGTCTGACTCCGGTGTGATGTCGCTTCTTGGATTTGTATCCTCCCTCGGAAAACTTGGCGGCGTTCGAGCAGAGGATGATTGGTGAGTCAGGGAATTGGACGAAGAAACCGTTTTTCTCCCGGTCTGCCGGTGCCCTTTTCTTCCGTTCCTCACCTCCTCGCTTCGGGTCGCGGAGTCGACTCGTAAGAGACCGCAATTTTTAAGTCACTGCGCTGCCGCAGATCGGCAGGAAACTTCATATTCAGCATTAGGAATTTGTTTTTTTTTACTGCACAAGTACTGAATTCCCAAGTCTTGAATTTTGAGCGTAATGTCCCGGCATCGTTTTCAGTCGTTTCGGATAATTAAAAAAAAAAAGATTTTGATGTGTCAGTGCCCCTTTAACCTTGCTCCTAGCTTATCGCTTTGAATACAACAACTTCGTTAATCGTAGTCTGCTGCTTCAATATTGAGTTGCACAATAGCACGTGTGGGTTGTACGTCAATCAGTGCTGGTTTGCATTTTGAGCAGCTGAAAGCCACTCAAAAAATATCAAGGACACTATCTTCAGAAACATATGGTACTTACTTTTTGGTTCTCATTAAGGCTCACAAAGTTTCAAATTTTCGCATCTGTTACACTTATCCCATCTACCTAGGTCCCTAACCACTCATGTTCATCTGTGCTACTTAAGCGCAATTGAAATTGCTCCCGTGCTTGTCTAAGACACAAGCTGAAGTGCAATGAAAACTGATTTGAGCTGCTCTTAGCCCGCTCCAGAATGTAGTTTTAGCTGCTCTCAACCTGCTCCAAAACATCTGTTTCAACTGCTCCTGTGGCTGCTCCCAAGTACATTTCATGAGTTCCACCCTTGCTTGTCTTAAAGGCCTGAAGGGGCTAAGCCCCCTTGCCACATGCCAGGAACCATTTCGACACTTCATAATTATTGTTTTTCCTGATCTTTAACAAGTGACTGCTGCCTTCTAAGAAGAGGCTGGGAATATTTTTTTTCTCTGGTGCAGCTTTTGGGGTTGAGCTACCACTTAATTTCAGCGTTGGCATTTTATTGAGCATCTACGTATTTTCATCGACATGCCTCCAACTTTCACGTTACCAGGAGCTGCGCTTGGCAGTGACATCATCCAATATGAAGACTACCTATGTGCCCATTGTATGGTAGGGTTAACAGGAGTACTTTCAGCTGATGCACGATCCATTGTCCCAATGCCAGTTTTAAGAATATCTGCAAGAGTAAATGAAGACATGTTTCCTAGTGTAGCTCGTGGTGTGATAAAAAAAAGCGTTTTCAAATGTAGCTCGTGGGACAATGCAGAAAGCTCCACCTCTTATGAACAGGTTCCACCAGTCCAGCAGATAAATTTTCTCACGTGAAAACCTTTCAGCTTCTGTATTGATACCTCATTGCTCAGATGTTTGTTTCTATGGTCACATGGTGGGCGGAGGCCTTAGAGTGCCTCGTCCAATCATATGGGATGATGCATTCAAGCAGGCATAACTGAGGTTGTGCCTGCTAAGAAGACTTTAGCTGAAGCCTTCCTATAAGTTTTTAGCGGGGTTGCGAGCTTTTTTTTCTTGAAATTGCATGCCCCAAGACACGCAAGACACGCAATCGAGGCACTTTAGTCGGGAGAAAGCCATCTTTCTGACTAAATGCAGGAGACTAAGGGCGAAAAGAAACGGGGGTGTGTGAAGAAGAGTTATTAGTCCTTGAGCCACATGAAGGGACGAATAGAGAATGTTGAAAGCCATCTTTGCCGTTTTCATGTTTGTACAATGCATGAAGCCGCAAAATCGTCAAAAACGCAAAGTGCCACATGGGAGTGTGTAAATGCCAACCAGTTCGAGTCAAGCCAGGCCAGGCCAATTCAAAACACAAGCCAAGCCCGCTGGCAGTGTTTACGGAGTCATGAAACACGAGGAGTTTGGGACCCGAATCCAGCAGTCTTCGTTCTGCCTGTGCCTTTTTTAGCTTCTGCTCAAGAGTGTTCTGGCATTTGTGCACTGGTGCTTCTGCTTTGTGCACTTAAACCAGCCGACTTGACACGGTGACTTGACACAGTGTGCCATGTTTCTGGAGGAATAGCTTGCGGGCAAAGAGCTTATCCCAAAGAGACAAGCTTGACAGTGAGAAGGCCGAGCAGTGGCGATGAGTGCAGTAAAAACTTGCGCGACATTTTCCTGATTTTGGTCCCCTTTTCACTTGTGCTATGCCCTCGAGTGCAATAACTTTACGTTCGCGTTATAATAGTAATTTTTTTTTTTTTTTTTGAGGGGGGGGGGGGGGGGTTAAAAACTTGCTTTTTGCATTATATTTGTGCAAACACGGTATGTTCATCGCTTTGGTGTACAAAAGCATTTGTACTCTTGAGTTGGCACAAGAACACAGAAGGGGCTTTTTCTCGTGGATCCAAAAAATTGCAGTGGCTTAGCTCGGCTATGCCACGATATACGTAGCATAATTACAGCTGGTTATTCTTAGCTTTCCTGGTTGTCTAGGATTAGCTTGATTATCATGCTTACTGCTGCTTCAATGACACACACACTGTATACACATTATGTGACTACTTCGGGATACGATGAGTTAAGCTTCTCCGCTCTTCTTATTGCGGAGGAGGCGCCGTGTAACCGAGCTTTCGGTTGCACGTCGAAAGATCCCCAGGTGGTCCAAAATGAATTCTCAGTCCTCCGCTGGGGCGTGCCAGATGCCCGTCGTTGGTTTGGCCAGCAGTGCGCCGTGTTGTTATGTATCGAGCAACCAAGCTGCTGCCCAGAACAACCGGACAGCGTGAGCCATGATCTCGAGCGGGCGCATGCGCGCGGCGCGTGCATCGGGGACTGAGCTAGGTGCCATACCAGTCCTGCCCATTCCGTCACTGCTCCTCGCACATGCGCAGCATGGCTCTCCAGAAGCCACGCAAAACTGCTCAACCTCGGCCAGTGTAGCTTAGGCTACAAAAGAGTCTCCTCAGTATATAAATAGGGGCAGTTATTTTCAGTTTGTGCTTGCTTAGTAGAACGTTGTGCAAAGGAGGTAAGGTTGAGAATGACTATGGGTGCAAGGGCTGTCGGTCTAACTTCAGTATTGTCATTGACTTCTTACGTGCGGCATCACTTACTGCGAAGCTGCTATGTGCTAGGATATGGAAAAAAATGTGTCCATGAATGTTAACAAAAAAACTCGTTTAAATGGTGCTCCTTCATTCCGATTGGTCATGGCAAGTATAAATAAAGAGGGGGCAACCCGCGTGTGTCAGCCTTCCTCGGCATTATTAGATAGTGAGGTCCTGATCCCTTGTTATCATCTACAGTCACCAACTTATTGCAGCTAAGAGTGCGCTGTTACGAGGCTGAGGGCAGAATGCGCCGATCTAATCTTCTTTTCTTTTGCTTCCGCGATGCTGATAGACTTGGGCTCAATCGGAAAAAACTGTCCTCGAGGTGCGATTCGCAAAATTGGGTTTAGAACTTGCCCCTAAGTGACCATAAGGCAGTGATCACTTTAGTCAATAATAATCAAATAAAGACAATTAAGCAACAAAGTCGTGTTTTCACTGCAATTGTGTATGTAATTTGTATAGTTGTCGTAAAGATAACAGCTTCGCTCGCCGTCCATCTTCACGTGAAGTGAGTGGGCTCTACAATTTTTATGAATTTGTTACGGAAGCTTATTGGGAGCTGAATAAGAGCCCTGTTTTTGCAGACTGTGTCTGGAATGTTTCGTGTGTGCACACGCTGGAATGATGGTAGTAGGTTGGCAGTGCATTGGCAGCAGTGATTTCTTCTGTTTGTGCTTGTTCCTTGCCGCTCCGACCCTTTCCATGTCTTCTTGCATACCTCACCCACTTTCCTCGGAGGCACGGTCAAATGTCATCGGCAAGTGAGTTGCAGTTAAGGCTATTTCACTATGTATTCACTAAATAAGGGTGAATACATGCAACTGTCTGGTAGTAGTGGATATCAAAATAGGACTACATTTATGTTCTTCCGTCTTCCAACCTCAGAAATGGCGATTGTCCGCCTCGCCGAAAAGATGGCAATGTTTGGCCATCTTGGCTTCGTGTGAAACCCCACATTTCAATGAGCGTTTCCCGCAGTCCTAGGTAACATTTTTATGTTACCTAGGACTCTTTTGTAGCCTTGACTGTGCCTCTCGGAGATCGCTATGCTGCTTGCTGCGACCCTCCCTCGGTCGAGAGACTGTCTGCAAACTCTAGCCGAAGTTCCCGTTTCCCATTCTCCTCTCTTCTTTGCCCCCTCCCCTCCCCTCCAGACTGGGCTGCAGAACAGGCTTCATGTTTTTGGTTGGTTTCTGTGGTGCTAGAGCCTTGGGTACTCTGTGGTTGCTAGTTATGTCTGTCGTAGTTCTGACTCTCGTTCTTCACTTTTGTGTGTCATTGCTTTTTGAGGTGAAAGAGGGAGAGAGATGTGCGGGTTCTGCTCCGGTCTTGCCCGTCCCCAAAGAGGACACAGCGGGCCAATCCTAGGAAGGGAACAAAAAGGTTTTGTCCTCAAGGGTCGCTTCCGGTTTTAGGCTTAACTTGATTGGTCGTTGTGGTGTGCGCTGGGACAGAAAAGCTCACTGCTCTCGAAAGCGAAAAGACATTTGGTACCTTAGTACTTCGACACCAGTGTAGCTCTTGGCATTGGCTGCATGTCTTACAGTGTGCATCTGTGGATGTTCCATTTCTCATCGGGAGCATTTTATTTTTGTTAGAACCAAAAGTTCTTTTTGCTTTTGAGAAAAGTGTTCATTTAGACATTATTGTTCATAGTTGTCAATAGCTGCCATATAAAAGCTGCACTTTACTCACAAGCGTTGCTGACCAGCTTGAGAATGTGTCTTTCTTGAATTGCAGGTTTGGGGGCCAAAGTTTTTTTTTTTTTTTTTTTTGTGTAGTGTCACTGTGGTATACGCTTGTGGTTGCCTTTCTCTCCCTCTCTCTCTCCCTTTCTTCTCTACATTTTTTTTTTGTTGTGGTTTGGTTGTTGCCGTGGTCCCAACCGATGACTCACTGTCGAGCGCCCCGTCCCCACCGGTCTCCGCAATGCCGTCCGGATGGCACAGAAATGCTGGATGCAGTGGGTAGCCTCCGCCACTCCCTTAAGCCACTGTTTTGCCGTGATCTTGCTGCTCCCAAAGACATTTCTTGTAGCATGCCCTGATTCTTGGAGACTGGGTCGTTGCTTTGGTGGTGAGAGATGGAGCACCGAAGGACTCCTGCTTGGGACGCTTGTTGCATGGCGTGTGGTAGCGGCAGCCGAAGGGTTGAGGCCGTGGCAGTTTGCAGGGATGGTGCACCGGGGAGCTATTTCATCTCTTCTTTTGGGAAGTCAACTCTGTGTACGAGCTTGAGTTGCCTCGATTCCACGTAAAAACACGATCAAAGATAAATTGTCCAGGGCTAAGTCGTCGTTAAAATGTCAAGAAGAGGATTGGTGAGATGGTTAGCCAGCGTTGGATGTGCGTGCATCAATTGTGAGCATTACCTCTGCAAGGCCACATTTGAGTCTGTTTGTCCAGAAAGGTTACAAGGTCACTAGTGGTTGGCTTGTGCGCCCTCCACTGATTCTTTTCTTGTCAACAGCTTTCACAACAGTCCCAGGTCTCGCCTGTGCATTTTTGACCACATTTCTCGGTATAAAAGCAGGCACCGATGCGAGCAATTTATTTTCTCGGAATTGCAATGTGCAGGTTAAATTTGCACACTTGAAAGATGCCCGAAATCTGCGGGACACCTTTTAGTGTCTCGGAGTTCCGGGCATCGTTTCTGGTATAGTTTGGCGGGAACCAATGCAGTTCTGGAAAATTTGGCTAGCCTGCCTTCATTGTGACCTTGGTATGGAGAAACTAATTGGAAGCAGTGCCGATCCTTGGCTCTTGTGTGTCGGAACATTCTCAATGCCCTCTTGAGTGCGTTTGTCTGATGCTTCATTGGTATGTCTAGTGGCGACATCTTGATTCGCTTGTATCTACTCCATTCTGAACCTTAGTGGCATGGGCATAGGACTTGCCTTCCGACACATTCTGCGTTTCTGCGTGGAGATCCATTGTCCTTTCTGGGGAAGATGTCTCCACCCCTCCCGGCAATTGCTTGCAAGAAACCAGAAATTTCGGGGGCTCAAGTTGGCAACGTGGCTTAAGGTTGGAGAACATTGTGGGCACGTGACATGAAAATGCATGGTGCGTGGTACCACGACTTGCGTAATCGTTCGGCATGCAACCGCATGGCAGAGTTCTATTATGTGTCCTGCTTCTATTGTGCCATACTCCTATCGTACCATGGTTCCATCTCTCACCATGGTCTTATCTCACACCATGGTCCTATCTCGCATGGTGCTATCTCATGACAGTCCTGTCTCACGACGTAGTCCTACCTTACGACATAGTCCTCACTCACGACATGGTGCTATATTGCAGCGTAGCCCTATCTCGCAACATAGTTCTCTTGTGCAACATAAGTCGTATGCCTGTGCCGTGCGGAAGCTCATTTGCGGGGGCCGGTGGCGGGTGCCGCGCCGACGGTGCGTGCACGGGACGTGGCAAATGCACGGGCATCTTTTTTTTTTTTTTTTCTCTCTCTTTGGGGTCGATTGTTGTGCTCCCGGGAAACTGCATCGTGCTGCCGTCCCGCTCCCTCTGCCAGTGGCTGCTCTGAGAGGCGTTGCGATTCAGAGGGGAAGAGCGCGAGGTGCCGCTGCTGCCCCCTTCGCCGCCGCCTTTGCCAGACATCCCTCACCACTAACTGCGGCCGCCGCGGCCGCCTCAGCCCTGCATGGTTACACTCCGTAAGTCACTCTGCTGCTCGCTGGGCGCAAGCACACGAATCCGGGGAGGGCCTTTCCTCTGTCTTCTTCTTCTGCGCCTTCACCAACCTGTCTGTCTCCGTTGTCGTTTTTTTTTTCTTTTTTACCAAGAATTATTGCTTTTTTGAGCTCTCTCTTTGGAGGGAGGGCTGCACGTGGGAGCTTGTGCTGGTGTCGCCTGTTGGGTGCAAGGCCTCTCCTCGCCCCCTCATTATTTTCTTTGACCGATCGCGATGAACTGTCCTAGGTCGGGCGTAGCGATAACATACAGGCCGCATTTATTGTCTCTGGTCGTTAGAGAAAACTTTTGTGGCTTCCATTTTTTTTAAGTTGTTTCTTGTCTTATTTTTTTAAATATAAGTTTGCATATTAATCACTAAAATCACTGCTGCAATGTGAAGCATGTGTGAGGCACCATCAATTTTCCTTGTGTTTAATTTTTCTCTGGAACACTGCATTTTGACCTGTTTTCTCTCTCTTGTACCGAAAAGGGGGCTTGCAAAAGGGCCCAAGCCTAGAGTAATTTCTGACATCTCGTTTGCTGAAGTTCAACAATAGAACTGCACGCTACTAGTCACAGCTACAACTAGAGGACCTTTCTTTCTAATTTTTTTGTGCTCATTTTAATGGAAAAGTTTCTAAACCAAATATTCATACAGTGATAAGTAGTCGCAGTAAAGTGGTCTTCAGTGATATTTTGATTTGATAGCTGCAAAGGTCACTTCCAGTACTTAGTAGTGTCGCAGTATATTTGAAAATCAGATTACTCGACATGCCAAAAATGGCTTGCGGCGGTCACTTTGTAGCATCTCGAAACGACGGCATTGTATGCTTTTTACTGGTCGTCTTTAGTACATGCAGGGACCCCACTTTGAAGTATGCAGATTTCTAGCTGCCGAATTTCTTTTTAAAGCCTTGCCTTTGTAAGCTACGGTGCTGCAAAACCCGCCTGACGACTTCTTTTAATTCTGTAGGAGTTTGTTTCGGGACCTCGCCGGGCACGCCATTTGGTCGAAGTACAAGGGCTTGGGTCTTGGCGAACGGTTCTTGTCTAGTTTGGCTACCTGATTGTGGCTTGCATGGGGTGCCCGAACGGGATACGCTCACTGCTCTTTACCTGCCTGGTACGGGCAATTGTCTGTATGTGCCTTGTCTGTAATTACTGCACAGTATTGAGGCTTGCCCCGTAGTTGCACTTCCATGGGGGGTGGGGGGGGTGCAGTCTAGAGTGCAGGTTGGGATTTGACTTTGCTGACTCGTCAGTGCCCACCGAAAGTTTTCCCTGTTGATATTCATGTCCTTCGGCTGGAAGCCTCAAGGACGTGCAGTTCAGGGAGAACTGTAGACTTGAGTTTGTCCGAACTGTTATCAAAGGCAGAAGGTTTGCGCCCGTGGTGTAGCATCTACTAGGTTCCTAACCTGTCGCCAACTTGAATCACGGACATTTCCACAGCGATTGGGTTAATGTCACCTTTCCAGTGTTTTATGGGGGAGAGGGGGGGGGAGGTTAGCTTGGTTAATAGACAAAGGTGATCTTGCGATTCAGCGTGGAAAGTATCATCCGCAGGTGGACAGCTGCGCCGTGTGCTTCGGAATTGCGTGCGCCTTTCGCTCTCGACAACGTTCACCCGCTCGGTGGGAGTGCAGAATGGCACTTGGGGTAGCGCCGCCATAAAGTTGCAAACGATTCTTCGCTCTGTGTACCGAATTGCGGAACTAGTTGTTCCTGCGCGACCGCCATGCCTTCTTTCTAGCCTACCATACCAGCATAAGCCGATTTGAGTCTGTTTTAAGTTTTCTGTTTTAAGTTTTTTTCGTTCTATTTTCTGAGATTACACTAACTCTGCTTGAAGCTGTAAGCAATAGAAAGGTCCTGTATCCAAGTTTGAGTAGATGTAGTTCACAATCCAGACTTGTTAAAGATAGAACAGTCCTTCGAAAGAACCGGCTGGGAAAGGCTGGTTGCGGCTGTGCCATACGCCCGACCTCTCGCGGGGCAAGATGCAGGTGAAATCAGTAGCAAAGCAAAGAGCATCCGAACGAGTAATCTGAGAAGCGCAGGATTTGAGGCTCGATAAAAGGCACAGAGAAGACGATAACCTCAGGCGATAACCCGAGGATTGCGGAAGAACATTCCTGCGCTCGTTAGTGTCAGTCTTGAGAATGGGTACGCTCTTTTTGCCGCCAAGCTGACGGTGTGTTGGGACCTACGCGCTTGCCAGGCCAAACAATCTCCCTTCGTCACCTGACCCCGCTCGCCCTGCACGGCTATGGGTGATCATGCAACGAAAGGCAGACGTACGACCAATGCAACGTGCGTGTGGCTTCCACCGCGCTGTCAGCTTGGGTGTGAACAAAGCATGAAACGTGGTTCTGCACTGACCTCCACGGGATGAAGTTTTTACAAGGAGGTTGGTTCTACTTCGTTGCCCTGGTTCTGTGGCCATGGTCTTACCAATTGCTGTTTCTTGCCGTTTCTTTTCAATGCCCGCACCAGGGTGTACCAGGATCCCTTCCTAGCCTACGCAGGGGCTGAGAGGTACCAGTTACCGGTGAGTGGTGTACCATCTCTGTTGGTGAGAAGGTTTTCTGGGCGACATTGGAGCGGGGACGAGCAGGGATCCTGCATTCGTGTCGGTACCTCGGACCACCTGCAACGGCTCTTTTATATATTTTTATTTGTATATAAGAACTTTACCGAGGGTGGTTCTTTGCCCAGAACATTTCCTGCTAGGTCAGAATCTTTATAGGAACTTTCCTTCAGTGTGAATTCTAGCCGAACATTATGGTGCTTGTAGGAGACTTTTGGAAGAGTATTTTTTAAATAAGAATGCCAGAATATTAAATAATTTCAACTAACCTTCCTTTGTAAAATTCAAGACAAAAAAAGCTCCTCTTAAAAGTAAGTTTTTTTCAAAAGCTCCCATTAGGGCCAAGTGGCAGTCAATGTTTTCCTGGCAGATATGGCTCTTTTATGGCCAACTTTCTCGGCCACATCTGTTAGTAAGACATTGCCAATGACTTCTTACCAAACGGCAGCTAATTTAGGCGATAATCATAAAATTATTATTTTTTGTATTAGAAAAGAGGCCTGAAAAAACAAGTAATGAAAAAGAAAGACCTATAATGTATAACTGGCAGATAAAATGAAATTCAATGGTACAGACAAAAAGTGAAAGATGTATAAGTGCAGGGTAAAGATAATATCTAAAACTAACCTCGTCAATAGTAATCTTAACGACGTAGGATGAAGTTTGTTAAGTAAATAGTTTCTTAGCGACGCGTCTCCAAGAGACAGCCTCTACTGATCTAAATGCCAGCTGTCAGCCTAACGCCGCTCAGGACCTGTCGTTCCAAAATCTTCAGACAAGCTCTTCTACCTCGATGCTTCGGAGGGACTTACTGTCCGAGATGTTATACACACTCTTAACCTTTGGAGAGATTAATATTAGGGTTACAAGTTTTGGGGTTAGTTTTCCCCCCAAAGATTCTATGTCTCTTTTTTGGAGGGAGGTACGCGAGAAATCGGCATCTATCGGGGGTTGCGGTGAAGCGAACAAGGTACAGCGGTGGGATTTCTCAACCTCCAGGGAACTTGTGCCCGACTCGAGTGTTCTGAAAATGTTGCAGTACCGATAGGGGATGAAAACGGGACAACGAATGGGCTTCCGGGTAAATAAGCGGCGCCTACCGAAGGCACAAAAACCCGTCTACATTATGCACGTGGCGTGACTGAGGGGCTTTCCTGGTGTCGGAGAGGTTGACAGCGGCTGTCTCTTTGTCTCCTCTCTCAACAGGCCACATATGCAGCGAGTGCGGCTTACACTGCAGCCGCAGCGCGAAGTTATGCGGCGGCCGCGGCAGCAGCCCAACCGGCGGTGGCCTCATACACCGCTGTGGCCGGGTGAGCTCCCCTTCCTCTCGACCCTCTGCCAGGAGAAATGCTGCTCACCTGGCGTTCTCAATGGGGCATCGTTCGCAATTCCAGCAGTTGGATGCGTTAGCCCCGTCTTTAGAGGAAACGAAACCAGCCGTCAGAGGGGCAGAAGAAACGCGGTTTTCGCGTGAAGCTTGTCCAAGTATGAAGTGCTGGAGAAAGTCGGCCCCATTTGCACCAAGTCCTCGTTTTTAACTTTTTGTTCTTGTTTTGCCTATTGAAAAGCACGGCGAAAGAGCCCAAGTATGCAACTAACCTCGTCACACCGCCATCTTCTTCTGCAGTCCTCCTGTTACGGTCACTTAATGTTAATAATAATGAACACCTTTTTCACCCGGAGAATCGCGTTAATAACATGGGTAAAATTTTTGCGTATACATGTTTCATGCAAATGTCATAGAAGGTGCCAATTTGACACAGCAAGGTACTGTGGCACGTCCCCACAGCTGGTCGGGGGTGCACCACAGTAACCATGCTTTATAACCTTTTACCAAAGGAAAAGTTCCCTACGAAGCTCACTCAGCATGGAGAGCAACACGGCCACTCTTAGGCCTAACCACTTCCACGATTTCACCGTCCGAAAGCGGACCAGATGATGGCGTGTTTGTTAACATCAATGCATCCGATAGGCGAAGAATGTCCGGGGCTGGACAATTCTGCGACCTAAGCTTGGTCAAGTGTGTGCGCCGCTCAAATTCAGGATTGATCGCTTCCGCAACTACGCACTTGCAGCCATTACGAGAGCGGCTTGGCTTCGCTTGACTTAGGCTAAACTGACCGCTTGGTGGCAAAAAAAAAAAAAAAATATTGGCTTGGTGGGCTTGGTGGCTAGCTAAGTTGAACGCAATTCGAGACTTTTGGAGCCGAAAATTAAAAATGTGTTCATTACGCGAAGGAAAAAAAAAAAAAAAAAGTCCAGATATTGGTATTTGTTGGGGGGGGGGGGGGGGGGGTGCATTTATTATACGAGTAAATACGTTAAACGTGTCTGCAAACGCAGCATTTAAAGCCGGCTATGGCCACAATGTCTTCCAAATGCCGTCTGCTACCAACTCGTCGACACTAGCTTAGGCTTCATGCTAGACTCCAACGGACGGCGACTCGCACAATCAGTCCTCGCTTCACTTGGGGTAACCTCCAAAATGACGCACATGGGTCGTTTGGGAGAGTGGGAGGGTTTACCATAACGCGCCTAGATCTGCAAGGTTGAGAAAAGTGGCTGGTCCAGGTCCGAAACTGCCAAGGAATTTGACATTCCGGCATCGGTTGTTCGACGCTGTCCGCCATTTTGTAGGACAAGAAAGGCGTACTGGACAGGTTTGAGAAGTTTCTCATGCAAGAGAAAGCGTGCCCGCGACCCAAAGACGAAAGATCGCCAACGGCTCTGCGCACATTGGATTTTCTCTCGCGAGTGTGTGAGAACATGCTGGAGAACCCACCAAGATAACATTGATTCGCTTGCGCTTGTCGATGCAGACATTCGCATTGTTGCTCCTGCCACGGATGCTGCGATCATAGATCTTGCGTGCAACCAGGGTAAACACAAAGCGACGTCGGAGAGGCACTTTGGTCGACGCAAACGACTGCGTAGACCCGAAACGTCCTACGGCTGCTTCGAAACAAAGGAGTGCAGCGTCGGTAACAGTGCTCTTGCGATGCCTGGAGCAGTTGAGGAGAACTGATGCGCGGATGAATTTATTGGCCAATTCCGCTTAATTATTTATTTTTTACTCTGTAAAGCTGCTGCTTGTTCATAACCAATGTTCATAACCAATTCGGTCAGTGTTACTCAGCGTTCCCATCCACTTTCATACCTGCTGGCACTGTATGTTTGGAATTTTTTAGCTATTGCCTTTTTTTAATTATTGCTTACTGTCGAGACTGGCTATGACGAAGCCAACGGGAATCGGATATCGCTTCGCTATATCAGCTTCTTCGTTATATATGAACTCATGCAAATAACATTACAAAAGAAAAAAAGATAACACGGGTTGTCACGGGCACATGCATGTTTATTAAGCCTGCAAAAAGCAGTTGAGGCTTCCCTGCACGCGTCCTTTGCCAGATCGGAGCCGCTTCTCGCCGGCAGTGGACGTCATTCTTTACGTTAATGCGCATTCCGTCGAGGATGGCACGCTCTTGATTCAAGGAGATTGCTTTCGTTTTCCCCGTCGAGGTGCTGGCGGTGCTGGGACTCTGTCGTTGAGTGACGATGATTCGCCGAATCGGTGCTTGAGCGAAGTAGGTGTTTGCGCAAGAGCGACCTCACTGACCAGGCGCCGACACGGACCTCGAAGCAAACAAAGAAGCGCACATGGCACCCAGTTCACGCTCAAGCTCGTCTGCTGTCGGTATAGAGAGCCTAGATTTACGAGATGGGGCAACTGTTTGATCGGGGTCACGTGGTTTGTGGGCCGCGTTTGCAAAACAAGCTGCAGCAAGCAAGGAATCAAAACGCAAAAGCAATCACCTTCTGCAAACGAGCCCTCTTCTCCACCCAGTTTCCTCGCCACACTGTTCATGCGACAACCAAATGTAGGCATACTTACTGCTCCCCTCTTAAGTTTGGGCTTTCCCCATCATCTCTGCCGGTACGTTGTCTCTAGCGCTCCGAACGCCCCTATCGGCATGCCACGACGGCTTCTCTGCGCGATGCGGTAAGGCTGCTTCTCAGATAAGGAGCGGGGAGCAGACGACGTTGCAGAGACTGTAGCCGGCAGCCTTTCCAGCATCTTCTGCGGCTTGTTCTGGGTGCCTTCTTGGCCGCGGCAGCAAAGTGCAGCAGTCCGAGAATAAAAAAACTTTCTGAATTTTATTATTTTTTTAAATTATCACAAAATTTCTCTTCGCTATATATCTGCGGGAGCTGCTAAATTTCCTTTGCTTATAACGGACACAAATGCATTGAAAAAGTCTAAACGGGAATGGGAAACCGTGATCGCTTCGCTGTAGCCGCTATTTCGTTATAAACGACTTCGTTATAACCGGTCTCGAGTGTATATCTAATTTTTTTTCCATCCCGTTGACTTTGTTATGATGAGGGATTACTGTAGCAACCCAAAAGGGCCTTCGGTTTTGGGGCCTTGGGGCAGGTGTCCTCAAACTCTTTAATCTTGAAAAACTCCCGTCTTCCTCGATTGACAGCCAAGCGACCCCAGCCAGACAATTGATGCAATGAGGCAATGCAGAAACCTGCAGAACTTGTAAATGGTGATGTATTCGACAGGAACTGTTTGGTTCTCAGTTCTGCATCAGCTGGTGGCGTAGATTCGCTAAAATCGTAGAACTGCAAGAACACTTTACCGTTCTGTAGGGACAGTCTACGGAGTTTTGGAGGTAAGGGGGAACCCCAGGGTTTGTAGGGATGCAGTTGAGACCATGCATGGGGAAAAGTCTTGGATTTCCGCAACAGTAGTCTCACATGCCTGAAGCTTGGTTCCCATGCTTCCCTTGCAGGTCTCCCTCGCTCTACTACAGCTATGGGCGGGAGTATGCAGACCCCTACCTTGGCCACAGCATAGGCCCTGTTGCCGGCTACGGGGTGAGCGGTTTGCCCTCATGCGTGAGTCAAGGGCTTTGGGCTTCCCGCCACGCGTTGGGGTGGGGTGTGCGCTGTACGCAGCCACACGTCTGGGTTCGTCGGTTGCGACCGCGTCGCGCCGTCTCCCAACGCACTCTGTTCTCTCGTTTTGTGTGCGCCTTCATTTCTGGGAAGTCTTGTCTTTCCAGTAATTGCACCTCCGCCGAGAGTCTTGCCGAAAACTAGGGGTGTGCGAATGCCGCTTTGAGTGGTATAGGGCATTGTCATTCCGCTACTTTGGTCATCCCTAACCTGAGAGTGCAGTGGAAGCTCATTGGTCCAGCCTTACGGCCATCTTTCACTACATTGTCGCACTTCGGCCCATGCCCCCCTGCGCAGAGCTGTGGTGTCAGGTGATAAGAGGGAGACAGTTGATTCATCTGGCCAATGCATAGCCTTCTCTGCACTGTCAGCTTAGGGGTGAATGGAGCGCAGCTTCAACACCATAGAGTCAACGTGCAGTGGCTTTCTGTTGTGCTGTGGGAGCTATGAGTAATGCAGTGCTATTCGGTTTGAATCGCTATTTGCACACCTGTAATGACATCAAACACATTTTATGCCTGGTCCCTCGCTACATTGTTTCACTTGATTCTCATGGAGCCAATGTGTGTCTAATTATTATGACAAGCATTTTAATTGTCCTATTAGATGTTCTGATGGTTATTAGTCTTATGTGTTATTAGATATTGTATTGGGCACTAAGGAAGACAAGAAAAGAAGGAGAGAGTTGCTAAAATGATAGGACTGAAACATGACAGCCTCAGGTGACTGCAACAATAATATCATTGACAGTTTGGCCCCTGTCTGAAGGCTATTACAAGGAAAGGCACAAGGTGGTCGTTTAAATATACAGCTACAGGGCAAGTTGGTGGTGCAATAGAATGTGTGAACACAAAGCTTCATTTACCTTTTTGTTCAGCAATCATTCAAAACACTGAAAAGGTTTTTTTTATTCACATGATTTTTTTTGTTTGAACAGACAAGTTCAAAACAAAAGCCTCTACGGTAGAACCTCTTTAGAGTAGAGTATGGAAACATAGGTGAAACATCCTTCTAATATTGGTAGAGGTGTTTCAGGTACTAATGTAGGGAAGGTTTTTTCTGAAAAAGCTGACTTCACTCTGAGAGGTTTTATGTAATAACGACTGGCATAATATGTTGATGTTAGTAGGTGCAGTCGACTCTCATTAATTCAAACTTGTGGATAATTCAAACTAGCGTCCAGGTCCCATCCTATGCGTCTCTATGGGGGGAAACTACCGTTAATTCAAACTTTGCTTTATTCAAACAAATTATCGGTCCCCCTCCAGTTTGAACAAACGAGATTAGACTGTACTATCATACAGGTAGGTTTTTTTGGTTCTGCAGTGATTCAATTGCAAGTGTGGTGTTAGATGTTGGATGGCATTGTCAATCAGATAGGTTCTAGTGTAATTGCGACCGGCGTTAGATGTCGAAGGACATTGTGAGAGACAAGTCTTAAGGTTCTACTGCAATTGCAAGTGCTGCATTAAATGTTGGAGGGCACTGTAAGAGATATAGGTTGTAAGGTTTCACTGTAACTGCAACTGTGACATTAGATGTCGGGGAGATAGCTTCCAGTGTTCTGCTGTAATTGCAAGTGTGCCGTTAGAGGTCAGAAGGCAAATTTGGAAAGATGGGTTTTAGGGTCCTTCTTTTGGAAGTGTGGCATTAGACGTCGGACGGTATTGTCAAAGACTTAGGTTCTAGGGTGAAGGTGGTTTCTAAACAAAGAATGGCTTTACTTGGATAGGTTGTACTCTGATTGCGACTATGGCGTTGGCTGTTGGACGACACTGCAGGTGGTGCAACGGATGAACCTTCCGACTCTTTACCGGGCATCCTCCTGTCTTTCCCTCGCAGACTGCGGTGTACAGGAGTGGCTACAACCGCTTCACTCCGTACTGAGGGAGCTCATGGAGCAGCTACGCCGGGAGGAGGGAAGAGAGAGCAGAAGACTCTTCCCCCTGTCGGATCAACAACAGCGTCACCCCGTCGTCCCCCTCCCCTCCGCCCTCTGCTACGGGGCGCGCTCTCTTCCTTTCGGGCACACCCGCCTCCTCGCGTGTGGAACCCCCATCGGTCCACACGGCTCGGGAGCGAGAAGAAAACTCCAAAGTTTACACTGCTCCCTCCCCTCCCGTTTCTTCTTTGTTGTTTTTTGTCTCCAAGGGAGAGGGAGAGAATGTAACTCTTCCCCCTTTATCCCCAACTTTGTATGCGCGTATGCCCCCCTCTCCCCTTTCTCCCCGTCATATCCCCCAAGTCGGCATTTCGTCTGCCCGTTTTTTGTCCGTGTGTTCAGTCTCGTTTTGCATACTCGTCGGGGGCCGTTTGCGTGAACCGGCCTTTTTGGGGCCTGGTTTCAGCGTAGTCAGTTTCATTGGGGTCTGTTTCGTTGGAATCCAGTTCGTCGGGGCCAGTTTCGTTGGAAACGTTTTCGTAGGAAGCGTTTTCGCCCGTAATGGTTTCGTCGGGGGTGGTCCCATTTTTTTTCTTCTCATCATTTCGGTTCATCGTTGATCTGTTTGCGTCGTCCCCACATGAGGGGTGCACGCCCTTTCGTCGTGTCCGCGTCTTGCCATAGCTTGTGCTAGTATTTAATTTTTTAGGTGCCTCTTCGGAGTCAAGTTGTTGCAGTCTGCTCGTACATTGCGCCGCGAGCTCCTCGTGGCACTTTCCTTTCCCCCTTCCCCCCTATGCTCATTTGCCGCGAGTTTTCCCCGTCGCGTTTTCGTTGCAACCTCTCTTCGTTTACGTCTCGTGTTTGCACGTGTGTGTCCTTTTCTTTTCTTCTTTGTCCTCTCATATCGATCATTCGACCCGCTGGCTGGCCAATGAACGTGCAGGCAGGGCAGATTCTGACGGAGTTTTCGTGAGTCGAGAGAGGCGAGGCGGCGACACTGATTTTGTGGCTCGTTCTAGGTAAATTGAAGCAAAAAGTCTGTGTTTCTGGAACGGGTCGTTCGCCTCAAGGTCAATAAGAGCGGGAATCAGCAGAGGAGCCCCTTGTCATGCCTGTATGTCGGAACTCATCGTCGGGTGAGCTTGCAACGTCGGAGGTTTGGCACGGTTCGTACGCAGATGCTGTGCACGCATCGTGCCAATTGAAAAGCTCACCGACTGAAAAGGAAAAAAAAAAAGGGGGTCAAGGTCTGTCAGTCGCCATTGTCGCCAAAGAGCATAATACTCTGCACAAGACACAAGCACACACGGCCCGACACGTTTGTACATATTTATCGTAGTTGAGTCCTGCCCCTTGCCTAAGCTATCCACCCCCTCGTTGTGTCAAAAAGCTCAAGCTTTTCTCCACTGTCGTTCCGTCGTTCATTTCCTTTTCCTCCTCCCCGCGATGTCTCGGCGACGCCCGGACCTTAACCAAGCCGCCTTTCTTCCATTTCCCCCCCTGATTGGGAAAAATTGCCCCTTTTTTCTGCCTCGTTTTCCCGACTGTTTTGTTGCCACCGCTTCGTCGGAAGCAGTTTTGTCGGAAACCACATTCGTTAAAAACTACTTTAGTTGGAAACATTTTTCATTGGAAACCTGTTTCATTGCAAGCAGTTTCATCAGCAGTTGCAACGAGTTGCATTTTGAAAGCGTCGGGCACCCCGCTCGTGGCCGGCGTCCGCTAGTTGCGTGATCTAGTCACGAATCGTAATTTAAATTCTCTCTTGGGTGCGGCGGATTCGCAGAGTTCCGAGCCTCGCCGGCAAGGTCTGTTCTCTCTCGTCATTGGCCGACCGTTGCCAAGCTCCGCCTTCCCGACTGGTTCGTGGTAGTTTTTGTTGTTTTTTTCTTCCGCCTGTAATATTTGCGACGTGTCGCGTCCGTTTGTAATCCCCCTCATTTGCGAATCGGTTTCATCTGTGCATTCTTCGGAGGGTGCACGTGTGATGTTCACCATTTTCTCAAAGTTCATCTTTTAATTGAGTTTTTTTTTTTTTTTTTTTTATTATTATTATTTTGTGTTTTGTGGATTCTTAGGTTGGGCACGACACCGGGTCAACACGCGGGTCTGGGTTTCTTTGTGTTTTTTTTCTTGGAATCGCGAAAAAAAAATTTGTTTTCGTTTAGTTTTCGGCAGCTGTTTCGTTTGTTCTGTAGTTATGCAAAGTGTTCGGTGCAGCTCTGTTTTCTTTTCTTTTCCCCCGCAAGTTTTTTTTCTGTTACGAGCGGCTTTTGGAGCCGCGTGTCTAGAAATCCGTGGGCATGTGGGAATTTCGGACTTGCCACACCGTGCCGAGCACAGTCTGTTGTCGGTCACGGCCTTTTTACCATTGCCCTTGGCCCCCGCGTTGCCGAAGTGTTGGAACAGCGACATAAATAAACATTTTAATCATTTTTTTTTTTATAAGACATTTCAGTGTTATTGTTTTTAGCACCACTTAGGGCTGCCCTGGTTTTCCTACCTCAGTGCCACGTTTTTTTGTTGGTTAATTTTTTTTGTTTGAAAGAGATGGTTTTCTCTCTAACGCTTGCCTTTTCGCTGAGGACAATTTTTTCTTTTTTTTTTTTTCTTTTACGCCAGTTACTTTTTTTTTTTCTCTTTTTCCATTGTTGCCGCAGTTGTGCTTTTTAGACTAGACCGAGAAAGGGAGTTTTAATTGAGCGAGCAGTTCGGAGGCGATCCGTCAACTAAGCAAACAAATGGACGTGGGTGTTTGCGCAAATTGCGAAGTCGTCGACTTTTGCCACAGCATGAGAGGAAATGTGGGTAGCGGTGATGAAATGCCGGGCGAAAGCACGCAACTCTCTTAAATCTAATGGAATTTGGCTCAGTGCTATTTCTCGTTTTCTTGTCAATGTGAGCAACATAAAAAAACCAACAAAGAAACAAACTTTGCCATTGAATGTGACTCCTTGCCCACTGTCTCCATTCATAAGACCCCCCCAAGTCTTGTGTTGTTTTTCTCTTGTTTGCAGCCTGTTCCTTGGCGCTACTCGTGTTTTAAACATTGTGCTTTTTTTTTTTTTTTTTAACGAGGCAAACAATACACCCTGAATCTCTCGGTATTTATAGCAAAAAGCGTTTTTTTGTGTCGACACCTGTATTGGTTGAATAAAGAAAAACGGCCAAAAAGAAACTGTCTCCTTTAATTCTTTCATTTAAGTGAGTCTGTGGTGCAATTTTTTTACAATGGAGCTGTTAAGGGCTAGTTTCCCCAGGATCTTGTCTATCCTCAAATGACCTGATGACACAAAACTCTGGACACCTCCTGCCATCTGTGAGCGATGGCGGCAACAAGACAACTGGCTTGCTGGCTGTCTGGTTGCTTCCGTTGCTCATAGATGGTGCCAACCTTTCTAGACCTTTCCACTCTGGCTTGCCGACTTGCGGCCGGCCATTACTTCATTACCACCATAATACAGCTTCGCTGGTCTTCCTCCTTCACCAGAGTGGAAAGGCTGAAAGCTTTATTTTTTTATTTCATAGACCTTCGGGGCCTACGTCGTAGGATTAGTGGTTACAAACTTTAGTGATAAAGTCAAATTCAAAGTGGATGTTTAGTGTTTTTACAACGTAAGGTCGGTCTGCCAGGTTCAGGCAACACTGGTTTACTCTGTAGATCAGCAATTTTGTCGGTGCAGCATGACTGCTAACCTGGGGTCTTTAACGTGGTTATGCAGTAGGGATTAAGGAATTGGGTGGTGGTATTAGTACAGTAAAATGGCTCGTAGACAATATTAGCTATGGCATTCCTCAATGGTTTGTGATCTTCGATTGCAGTGGAAGAAATATTTAGGTGATGACTCTGGCTGATGCAGCGACCACATTATTTTATTTGGTGCACCGAGCGCTTCACTTGCACAGGGATAGATGGCGCCCAAGTATTGGGCCCCTTCAAAACCGACCACTCCGGTTGTTTCTCCCAGCAATGGTCCTGCGTTCCCTCGCTCGCCACTTGTACCCATGGCGGAAGAAACTCATTTAGGTGATGACTCTGTCCGACGTGGCGGCCACATTATGTTCGGCGCACTGAGTGCGCTTCACTCGCACGGGGATAGATGGCCGCCCAAGTATGGGATCCCTACCGAACCGATTGTTCTGGTTTTTTCTCCCAGTGGTGGTCCCGCGCCATTCCCTTGCTCACCGCTTCTTGTACCTCACCAGCAGGGCTGCCAACACAGAAAGTCAAAATTTCCCTAGCAAATGCCTGAAATTTCCCTATTTCTGCCAAAATTTTTTCGCTTGCCCTAATAATTACATAATACAAATAGCATCTTCGATCAACTCGCACCGGAATCGCCTTGAAACAAGGACACTGCACAGTGTTCCTTGGCCGTGCAGCGCGAAGTCGCTGCATCATCGAGGCGGGGACAAACTGCGGCGCCGCGCCGTGCGTCACCTTGCAGTTTGTTTAGTTTTTTCTTGCGTAGGTCCGCGCGCGGTTCCCGTCTGCCGTTAATTTCTCCTGTTTTTCTACTCGCGGATTTGGCGGTCCCACACAAATGAACATCGTGGACGTGATTGTCGACAGGGTTGACAGGGTCACGAAGTGGTGACAATCGATTACTTCCATAAACCCCTGCATGCAACACGGCGCGCGTTGCGCTCCGGGAACTAGTTGGCGAGGGAGGAGAGTGGCATGTTATGGTTTGGAGGCCAACGCTACATCACAGCAAACTTGTGTATTTAATAAGGCAGAAAAGATAGGATAAACTCTAACCGCAGCATGCTCCAGAGTCCCTGCTCGTGCTGCTCTCTGGTCCGCGTGGCAGGCTCACGTATCGTCGTCTTCCTGCTCGCGCGGTAATGCCCACGATACTACATCCCTTTCCCCCGGAATTGTCACCACCCAGTCCGTCGGTGTCCTAATCCACCTGGTAGTCTTGAAGGTACCGCGGTGCTCAACGTACTCTCATCGGACGATCAGTTGGCACTTCAGCGTCAGTTGTTGGACGGGGAAGCGTTTTCGGTTCGCATATCGGTGTTTCGGAGGACTCGGCATCCAAAAGCTCCTCCGGAGACTCACTCGTATGGGGCATTGTGGTTTCAAACTCCGGATGCGTGGTTTCTTCCAAGACGTCTTCACGGTATCTTCCCCTTTCCTCCCAGAAACTTGCATCGCATTCGGACGCCGACGACAATGTCGTGTCCTTTCTACGTGGACGCAGGTGATCATCATGTCGTCGGAATCTGCGACCATCTTCCAATAGCACTTCGTAGGACAGAGGTCCACAACTTTTCATCACTTTTCCTGCCAACCACTTAGGATGGGCCAACAGTACCGAATTTGCGAGTTTTTTTTTTCGAAATTACGTGCTCCAAAACGCACCTCGCGTTATATTCGGAATCGAGTTCAGCCACGAGGCGCGCGAGTCTGGAGAAAGCCAGAGGAGAAGGGAGGCACTCACTTGATCGAATGACGTTTTAGCGAACGCCCACGTTTCACCGAATGACACTTTAGCGAATAATCGGACGCCGCGAAGCGGCGTTTTCGGGTGGGCCAAATGGCCCACCCGAAAATTTTTGTAATGAGCCGCCGCAGACTGTCGCCGCGAAGCGGCGTAAAGCGCAGCGCGGTGGATGGGTTAATGCGCGCCCCCGTTATTCGCTAAAACGTCGATTCGCTCAAATGTCGCTGTTCGCTAAAATGTCATTCGCTCATGTGATATGGACCCACAACAAAAATTTTGGCACCTTTGCTTTGTCACAGGTATGTCGCAAATAAATAAATTATTAAATGTTCGGTGGGCCTGTAAATAGTTTATCTAGAACGGATAGTGTTCTTGCTAGGGGTGTCGCGAGCTAGAGCACTATATAGCTCCTTCGGAGCAGAGTAGCGCAATCTAGAACGCCGTCTCTCGGCGACTAGCGGCGAACGCCCGGAGGTTCCAACTGCGGTCAGAAATGCATGGAGAACGTGAGAAAATCGTTGTTTCTTCAGTTTTGTGGGGATGTGCGGAATGGAAATCATTTTTGACATAATAATGAAACATTTTAGAATGATATGCGATAAGTTTTGTGCCATACAAGGACGTAACTTTTTTTTTAAAATTGCCTGAGCGGCATCATGCAGCAGACGACACGGCGACGTCACACCATTCACGTGACCCGCTCCGGCCAACCCGAAAAGCCCATCTCCGCTGCGAGCAAAAATCGTCTGCTTCAAACGCCATTGCCTTGGAAATTGCCTTCTCAAAATTTGCACACGCATCCGATATTATTAAAACTTTGATGAAGTGTTTAACGCTTTACTAACTTCACGACAGGTTAGTTTTGAAAAATGTGAACTCGCTGTTAGTTTTTTAATCAGCCGTGTTATGTCGATCTCCATGTATTCTCCCATAGGGCGGGCCGCCTCCTGGAACCCTGAGTACCACGTGACTCGCGCCGAGCCGCTCTGTCGGCCATGTTGTCGGCAAAACACGGGGTTCAAAGGATTGCGCTACTCTGCTCCGTAGGAGCTATATAGTGCTCTATCGCGAGCCGGCCGAGGTTCGAGTTCGACCAGGTTCGACTTTTTCGAACTTTTAGTGAAAAATTCGACGACCCTTGTATTGAGGTTCGACTCGTGTGCGCATGCGCGACAGGCTAGCCAGTTGGCTTCGGATTGGATGGTGATGGCTAAGGGATGAATTAAGGGCCGCGCTGATTGGGTTATTTCCGTTAATACACTACAAAAAATTAAGTTATTAACTTCTTCAGCGATTATAATTGTTTTTTTTAATTGCAACTGTTCATAAAATAAAATAACCCTTTTCATAAAAAAAAATATTCTCCAAACCTAGACATGCTTGTATCAAGGTCTGGCCACACTGTCCACAAAGTCGAACCGGTCGAATCGGGTGAAAAGTGCAAAGGTCGAACCCCGAAAGGTCGACCTAAAAATCCGGTTCGACAAAAGTTCGCGACACCCCTAGTTCTTGCCAGAGTAATTTTGACACATTCTAGTCAACAACTCAGTTGGGACGTTAAATGTCGAAGTTGTTTTTCCCTGAAGCTGTAGACCAAACTGGACTCGTAGGATCGCCATGAGTAGGTTCAGCTTCATTTTGTTGCGAACACGCGCTCAGCATCAGCATTATAAACTGGAAGAGACAATAT